TGAGACCAAAGCATGGCTGTGAACTTGATTATGTCATCAGTGTGTTAATGGCAGCACTCGATAGAGAAGATGTCACAATACAGAAAATCAAAAAGGTGTTTTTTGGAAAGAAAATAGGTCAATTTAGTGATCCCTTCTTACTCATTTGCTATGTAATGGCAGAGATGTGTAAACAGCAGTGTTCCATGAATAGTTTTCAACAAGCTGAATTGTTTTTATTAAAAGGCTAAATTGCAGAAAGCACAGAATACTGAATAAGAAAATGCACCTGTGTTTTTAAAACTTACTTTTCCTATTACAGTATAAAATGTAAATGCTGCTCATCGCCATTTTATCCTTTGCAAATCAAATGCAGATTTAATCAGTATTCCTAATGCAATCAGTGGACAGCTGTGTGGCCCACTAGTCTAGCACAGGGATTAGTATTGACTTAAGAAAGCACATTTCAGTGTGGGAAGATGTGTAGATGTTGGTAACTAAACTATTCTCTGTCCATAGGGCTTCATCTTTACACTGGGGTCAGATTTTGTTTCGTGCTCACAACGGATCTCTTCTGATATCACAGAGCAACGTGGCATTGAGTAAAAACAAACATATTAGTGCACTCAGCTGAAGGGATTATCGTGATAAAGCTTTAGCCCATCACATTTGGAGAGGGAAAATCATTTTGATAAAGCTGGTGTTTCACTGAGCCAAATGACATGTTTTAATCTGCAGACAGAGCAGGCTACACAGGGCCCTTTTAGTCTGGGAATATCGTAAAAACTGCAACAAGAAAGAAGAACTACCTCTATCATTAACAAAACCTTTTAAACTCCCTATTTGTAAAGCACTGGATGTAGCATCTGTCTTTTTCATTAATAATACTACATTATATAATAATAGGAAGATGAATTTTCATTACAGTCAGTCTGCTGGGGGCTTGTGCATGTGACATTTTGCAACACTTTACTGCAAACATTTCCTCTTAGGCCTGTGCGTCGGCTAGCAATAGCAGAATTAGCAGCTACAACACTCTAGCTAGTTAGCGCCAGTTTTGGTATAGCTTTTGGACTTTAGCCACATCAAAAGCTTTAGATTGTGCTAACAAATTGAACTAATGTTTGAACTAATTTTAATTAGTTGCGTACACAAGCTCCGTGTCAAAAAATAGCATTGTTATTGTTCTATGATGAAACAAACAGAGATTTTGATATTAGCTAACAATGGTTGCATTTAACCAGCAGAGTATTTAACTAGCAGCAGAAATAGAAATAGAAATTTTCCAGTAAATTAAATGATTCAGGATATGTGCACTTTTTAAATACTATTAAATATATATAAGAAAAATTCTTACCCCCTTTGAAAGAGATCCACATTGTGAAACTTGTGCAACTCTAGAGAAAACTCCACTGTTCCCTGTACTTCAGACATGATATGATCCCACTCATCACCTGTCAAAAAAGAAAACAACCAATCAATATGATGTATAAGACCAATGAGCCAAAATAACACCAAATCCACACTGAGAGGTAAGACAAATGATGACATTTCTAAAACTAGCTCCCATGGAAGTGATACTGCATGACTCATTCAGTCCACTGCAGTGTGGATAGCAGACTGTATGAGACAAAGATGGAGACCCTGGTCTGAATATAGTTCTCATTACCAGTGGTCAGGTTAATGTTGCACATATGACAACCACCCCTGTGATTGAATTATATCACAGTAAAAAAAAATGAATGTGTGCAGCTGTATGTTCTCTGTCTTCTATCTACCTTAAAAAGAAAAGCTGTGAGCCAGGTTCGATTGTAGAAAACATCAGTTTATTGGCAGCAGTAGCACTGTCACATTACCTTTATAGTACATTTGAATAATAATAACTTTTATAACACAGCTATGTTTTTCATTTTTAACCATCCCTTTTGTACGCCCAATATTTTAAAACACAAAGAAGACGAGTCTCCTTATTATGTTTGACATAACAATAACATTTAATACTTATAGTTTAATGTAGTGTATCGCTGTGGTGCCCATTTATTCAAAAGAAAGGGTGATTATCTATCACAGTTTTGTTTACTGTAGCACAATTTTTTGAATCCATCCTTTGGATACACAACACAGAACCCCATTATCTTTCTCCAGAAGCCTTACTATTATACAGTTATATAAACTAATATTGAATTTCCATTGTCTCTTGACTTAGGTATCTATTGGGATCTCTTATTGGTAGGATCTAATAGGTATTTGGGATCCTGGGAATGTGCTTAAATAAATCACAATTATAAACCCATGTGTCCAAAATAACTTCTGATCAGTACTGTACATACTAGACTTGCTGACTCTCCGTTCATTCATACCATATTAAAAGTACTACCTGTCACTTGTAATTAAAGCTCAGAACATGAACCATCCAATTTACTACAAACATTAGATACCAACCTTGTAGTACACAGGCTATAAAGTGCTATGAGAGCTGAAACATGGCAAGTTTGAGCTGCCATCAATCGAAAGGTGCTCAAACACCGACTGTGTTTACAGTCAAGCATATTAAGAAACCCATAATTAAACGCTTTGAAATATAACACCACCATGTGTGTGGTATTGGGTGAGTGTTCCTGTAAGCACTGTAAAAACTACAAAAGCAATATTACTATAAAGTAAGATGTACACAGTGACGTATCATTACAGGTAAACAGTGCTGGGAAACACCTTTTAGAAGTGCAGCTTGTGCATAACAAGCAGTCCTCAGCTTAGCTGGCTTAAAAGCATAAGTCCACTTTCATTAACCAGTAAAGAATTATCTATCTGATTTCATTTCATCAGAGCTCAGACACTCAGAGGGTATATCATTTGAATTTGCAATAAGGAAAATGGGGGAAAAAAATCCTGGTTACAACTCTCCCTGTCTTAGTATTCAGTGTATTTATATCGATATAGCATGAGGTTAGCACTGTTGCCTCACAGCAAGAAGGTGATGGGTGTGTTTGCAGTTAGGCTAATTGGTGATTCAGTATTGCCCATAGGTGTGAATGGTTGAGTTAGTTTAAAAAAGGGTAAAGCTTCAAGAGACTTGTTTTAAAACAAATGCACTTTAAAATACTTACGCAATGTGCTAATAGCTAAACTACAGGTATATCAACTGTTTTTTCTATTTTTATCTAATTTGTTTTAAATTGAGGATTATGTAAAAGGAGTCCTTGACTACACACATAGTATTTCATTAACAGCTAAACTATATGCATGAGTCAGACAAAAGCACAGACAGTATAAGAGCGTCCAGGCCAAGCTAACTTGGAGGTGCCAAGCTAGCTTAGCAATCTTCCTCGAAGCAAAAAGACTTCTGGTGGTATAGAAGGCTACATGAAATCACTTTAGGTGTCACCTTAATAAACATTTCCCTGAAAATGATGGTCATTCTACGAGTAAGGAAGAAAGATTGTCTGGAATATCCTCATTGGGGAAAAGTTAGTAAGTCATTATCCAATGAGCATCTAATGGTGAGTTTCTGAGTCAGTTATTGTACCATTTGCATAAATGTGTCTGGG